CTCAAGTTCGATTATACAAATTTTCAAACATACTTCGTGCTGCACACTGCCATATCGTAGACATTCTCCGGAAATCTCTTTTCGTTATAGAAATAATTTCCCATGCCGAGCAAAGCCTGATAAGCGTCCACATCATTTAAATCCACGCGATTATTTTCTATGTACGGAATCGCTGCTTTGTCCTTTAATCGGATTTGAAATATTACTAAATTAATACTTAACAACAGAATGATACAAATTATACTATAAAAATTAGTATTATTAAAAATATAAATTAGTACAGTATTAAGATAATTAACAATAGATTCTAAGGAATTTCGATTCAATAGCATATTTGTTAGAAATAAGAAAATAAAATAAACAGATATTCTATACTTACCATACCAATAATTATGCCTGCAATATTCAGACGTATCTTTGGATTCGTTAATACACGATATCTTAAGTCTACTCCATTCCATAACGCAACGATATATCGTTTAGCTTGATCGATATTTTTACCTAACATTCTGCGGTAAAATTGCAAAATGAGAGTAAAAAAAATAATTTTATCGAAATTAATACATTGGAATTGACGGAAATAATTGTACAAAATTATCACTTACGTATACAAATCATAATCGATAACTACTAAGACTTCCGGATATACCGTATCCACAATTTGGTACATACGAGTCAGTGGGTTCGTTATATCTAGAAAGTAACAGGAAGTAATGTTATTAGATATATGATTAATGAAATAGTCACTACAAAATTAAAGATTAAATTAAATAAATTTCCTTACTGAAGCTTTCAGAGCCTTTCTTTGGGACTTTTCTGTAGACAATATGATGATAAGTTACAATTAAATCATCTGCTGCTCGTTCCTCGGTGAAAGAATCTTCGAACAATCCATTCTCTCCGTACAAAATGTGTTTAACAATACGTTCTGGTAAGGAACGTATGATCAAGTTATAAGAAAGAAAGCCATCCTAAAAGTTAACAGGAATATAAGTTCACACTTTTCTATTAACAGTTTCTGATAAATTGATTTCAATAAATATTACGAGGAAAGAAAAATTCTGAATTAAGTTATGAACGTTATTTATAACAAAAAAAATACATATTGCGTACAAAGATACGTAGTTTATTGTCACGCGGTGTAGCTAGAACTGCTGCATCTGAGTCCTCGTCTTGCATTGGCACACCAATATCTTTCAATGCCTAAAAACATTATTATCTCTGATATATCTATTAAATGAAAAATAAGAAACAATTGTACAGATTGTATTAAAATAAACTTCGATAAATAGAGATTACTTTGGGTATTAAACTGTACTGAAGTCCTTCGGGCTCTTGTTGATTAGACTTTACAGTCCACAATGGAGTATCTTCGCTAGCAAGGTATTCACCGGTAGTATTTAAGTGCAATTCAATGTTTTGTTGGAAAGCCTTGATGTACATCTTTATCGTGCTATTTCCATTTGCACCGTGTATCGAATACAACACCGGCACAAGTTCGTAGTCAGGCACTGCAATAAATAATTAAAAATCGCAAGAAGAACCTAGGACATCTAGTATTGTTAAAGGTTTCAGAAGTATCAAGGGTCTTTGAAGGTTCTGAAAGTACCTGGGATCTCCAAAGGTTCCATAGATTCTAGGGGTATCTGAGGGCTCCAGAGGTTTCTTTGGTTCCAAGGATATAGAAGGTTCCAGAGGTTTCAGGGATCTCCAAAAATTCCATAGATTCTAGGGACATCAGGGAGCTTCAGGAGTTTCTTTGGTTCCAAGAGTATACGGAGGTTCCAGAGGTTTTAGGGGTCTCCAAAGATTCTATGGATTCTAGGGGTATCTGAGGGCTCCAGAGGTTTCTTTGGTTCTGACGATATACGAGGGTTCCAGAAGTTCCAGAGGTTTTAGGGATCTCCATAGATTCTAGGGATATCAGGGAGCTTCAGGAATTTCTCTGGAACCTCTGGAACCCCCAAGAGTATACGGGGGTTCCAGGGGTTTTAGGGATCTCCAAAGATTCCATAGATTCTAGGGGTATCTGAGGACTCCAGAGGTTTCTTTGGTTTCAAGGGTATACGGGGATTCATCTCCAAAGATTCTATAGATTCTAGGGGTATCAGGAGGTTCCAAGGTTCCAGAAGTATCAGGGATCTTCAAGGATTTTATGAGTTTCAGAGGTACTCTAGAGGTTCCTCATGGATATTCACGAACTTAACAGCTTCCATGAGTTCGAGGGGTATCGGGATGCTCCAGAGGTTCCATGGGTATCAGGGTTATCAGAAAATCCCGACGGTTTCATGAGAAAAGTTCGTTCGCTAAAGTTGTTATTCTGATAGCACATTAGGAACCACTTTCTCTTTACAAAGTTCTATGTGACCTTTTTATAATTTTGCATCGATACAATATTTTTTTACGTCCATTCATAGTACATACATGGTTTTTCGTAATTTACATACCTGAGTCATGTGTTGTATGAAATATTCCCATCACCTCATCCGCCGTCATTAGACGATGGATTTGCTGAACATAAAACATCTTTTAAAAATTCTGCTTCTTCTCTAAAGCAGTATTCTTATAATTTGTTAATAAAATTCTTGTCAATACTTTTACATCGTTATTTGTACGCAAATAGTTAGTTGAATACTTTTGAAGTATACTGTACCAAAAATGACTGTGCAAACGGCATAAAAGTCATACAGATGTAGATTAGAGCGTACATCGTAGTAAAAAATGCAAGCATGCAGTGCAGATCTACTAAGCTCCCTGTAATATTACAAATTAAGGCAACGAAAATCCACAATCTGTATTAAAACTCAAATTTAAACTTTCGTTAATTTTCCAATTGGAGAGAAATTGAACGATTTTCAACTAATAATGAAAAAAATGGCCTACGAAGCTCATATAGTATCCTTAATTTATACATACCTATTATTTACGGTTATAATTGCAATTTTAATATTAGAAAATTATACTTGTTCTTTTATAAATGAAATTGATTCACCGGCAGGCAACAAAGAAGAATTTACAATGGTAGCTACGAAAATAACGACGAAGAACATTTCAAATGATACTTAAGTACTGCTATATTTATTTGTAATTATGAAAGAAAACACTTGTTCACATATTGTACGATTTTTCAGAGATCACGGTAGATTGTTTACAGGAAAAACTATAAATTAAACTTGATTGATTGACACGTGATGTATGATTAATGCGCGGGTTGAAATTCGATTAACAGTTCCTCTTCTTGCGTACAGTGGCGGACAAAAGTATACGTGCAGCCGTTAAAGTAGAATAACTTCTTTTCAAATTGGACCAAACGACTGGAGTTTTTTTTTTCTCTCTCGAGAAGTTTGAAGGATTAGTTTACCAGATGACGTGTAAACAAATTTGGAAAAAATTGTATTTTGGTCGTTTTTTACAAGCTTTTTTTCTTATCTGAGCCTCTGTTCTTTGTAACGTTACTTATTTATTAACTTCGTTTTTTCAGCAAAATTAATCAACACAAGTGTTCCGTTATTCGAGTAGAGAGCTGCTTGACAAAACAACCGTATGTTTTCGCGCAGCGCACGATCAATCTTATTATTAAATGAAGTAACATGGAGTGTTTCAACGATCGATCTGTGTCTAATTAATAAATGTTCCTGTCTGAAATAAGTACCAGCATACATAATTTCACATTTGGAGGCTGTCTTCGTAAGTCAGCGCGACTATCTTCGCGATAGCATTCATGTTTAGGTGATATATCACCGTACTTGATTTCCTGCCAAATAAATCATCTACCACTCGGTTTCTTGCGCTGATTTGCCAATTGAACGACGTATGCATACACTTAGACGAAATTAATTTGATGAAAATATGGAGATTCGACAATTATGGAAATTTCAGTCTAAGAAAAAAGTGTTTGAAATTGAATTTCAGAGAAAATTAATTATACCGGTTGCCGTTCGCTAACTTTTAAGAGTATATGAAAATTGTTGAATGAGACACAATTCATTTTTTGGACTAATTTTTTTGAATAATTAATATAACTTTATTACAATATTTGTGGTATTTATAAATTTATAGTATTTGGAGTAACAGTAGCGTTTATTAAACTTTAATTAAACTTATACAAAATTCATCAATTTACATTATTCTTCTATCTTTGATCATTTTCGAAATATTAGACCAAATATGTTTACTATTTTCAACAAAAAAAAATGTACTAAAGTTTCATCAGTATCGGTGGTTATCTCTTCGGGATGTTCCTTTTGTCAATATACAAGGTGGTACTTCATAATTTTGGATGCAACAGTTGACAGAACTAATCAATCATTTTTATTAAATCGACGTTGTACAAAAAAAGATTAACGAATTTTCTGAAAATCATCCTTCGAATATGTACATCTGTATCACAATATATTGTTATAATGCAATCAATGAATACTATCTACATACGAATTAAATTATCTCTTTCCAATTATTCAACGCCTAAATTATAAGTAATCCTATTATAAGTATATTTATGATCAGTTACAGTCCAATAACAATTCGAGAACTTTCTAAAATAGGAGAGCTATCTTATGTCGACTCGTAAAAAAAGGTTCATAGAAAGAAACGAAGAAAAAGGATGTACACGGTTCCATCGTATAATCACCATTTATTTCTCTTGCGCTACAATTCTCGTCGATTTTTTCTTTTTTTTTTTTGTTTCATGGAGGGGAGGAGGAAGCTCGTTTTCTTACGTGTGCGCGCACAATGGAATTTCCTATGATGATACTAGTCTTCCGCGCGATCACGTGCATCGAATAAATATACGGTCGAATCTATAGGATACATACTTGTACATATCTATATATACTGATTCAAACGTTTCGTTTTGTTTTTTTTTTTTTTCGTTTTTTTACACCCGCCGTCTGTACAAAGCTTCTGCGGTATTACCGTAAAAAATAACAGAGAAGAACAGAGAAAGAGAGGAGAAAGAAACATGAGAGAAAAAGAGAGGAGAGAAGGAAGGAGGAAGGAGAACGAAGAAGTTATATTCTGAAGTTATAACACAGTGAGATTACGTAACTACTTATTAAACGGAATTGCACAGTCGTTCTTCGCGCGGTCGCGACCGCGAGAGCAATCAGAACTCCGTGAAAAGATGTTTGTCCTTCGAAACAACCAATCTGAAGTGATCCAATATGATTCACACAGGGTGGACCGCGTGATTCACCTAGTCCCGATCTCTCGACGGGGAGAAAATGTCTGCTCGTTGAGCTGAACGCGTGCTGAATCAGATCTGTGGTGGTCTCTGTGGATGCGTGGCCACGCGCGAACTCCTTCACGAACCGGAATTAACGTGGAAGTTTCAGTGCTGCCAGTGTCTCAAGCGACGCAGATCGTCTTCAGGGACGCGCAACAGCGGCTTTTCACAGATTGCAAATGGCACAGCCATGTTCTCAGCCTGTCAATCAGCTCCGCGCAATCTGACCCCACGTCCGTGCACTCATCGCCCTCTGGTTCTGAAACGAAATGGGAGGTGTCAGGTGATTGAGGTTATGGGACGGAACAGAGGGAATTCAGAAAGTTTGACAAAAGGAAAAGAATTTTGATATATACATTGAAATGTTTATTGAAAATGTGAAGAGTAAAGAGGACCCTGAATTTGAAATGCTAGAATTAGTAATTGAAGTTAAATAAGTTTTTTTTTTAAATAAATTATTACAAGAAAAAGTATTACAACCAATTTAATTATTTTTGTTTTATCTTTTTAAATACTTTACCTCTTATTTAATTTATGATACTATGTACAAGAAAAAGTGGATTTCATATAGAGTAAATATTACAAGATGAAGAGGAAATAGTTGTTCATTGTGGAGACAGTAGAGAATTACTCCAATGAGAAAGAAGAGAACACCAGTCATCCAATGGAATACACAAGTTATCCGATGAAAGAGACACAATGCATGGAACACTGGATCATGAAAACGATCGTTGATGGAGTGCATAGAAAAATAACAGAAAATATTCACTGTCCACAAGTGAATTGTACAAATTGTATAGGAAACATCAGACGATGAAAATTGCGACGTGTCAGCTTGTCACCATTTCAATCACCACATAGCGTCGTAACGGCTATGCTGTTCATTAATAATGATCGTAATACCAGAAGAAATTCACCATACAAATACAAAAAAGAAGTGGTAGGAGAAACAGACGAGAAGTACCTGCCAAAAATACGTTTAACTATAGAAATACCAAAAAAAAAGATTGAAGCAAGAAAAAGAGTAGAGTGAAAGAATAGATGTAATTGACAAGTTGTTAAGAAAAAGTCGTTTTATCGAGACGATAACGCCTGATCAAGACGATCGATGAGAAGAGATGAAGATTAGGTTTTTATAATCCAAGAGAAAAGTCTTCATTGATACAGATTTCTCTTACCGCGAGCATTGCTCTGAAGTCTGTTCTGATCCCCTTTGGTCGTCGTCGCGAGCGTCACCGTGCTCACCATCCCCTTATGTTTGAACGGACTAATTTTTGGGTAACTCAGATCGTTCGTTACCTTCATTACCGGGCTAACCGTGTTGTACGAATAATTCGTGTACTTCCTGGTAGTGGCGCTACCATATCCGTTCTTACTAAAACTAACATCGTTACTACTATTGTTCACTTTCGTGTTCTTGTATTTACTGGCGTAGAAATAACTGGCTGTGGTGTACGCATTGTATTTGGTCGACGGAGGGGTGGTGGCATACGGTGTGACACGTTTGTAAGGATTGCTCGTCAACGAGAAGAGATTCGACAGAGACGAGGAGTATTTGAATTTCGATTGTGGCGTGCTGTGTGTCGTCGATTCCCACGGATACCTGTGTGACATATGCATTTATGAGGAAGCGGGAGCTCAGTTTGTTTCCTCGACACTCGAGAAATATTCGTTGTTCGAGACTACGTGTTTACCGACACATAACCCATGTAAGTAAGTACACTGGGAAAATTGTCGAATTCTGTAATGTTTGCAATCGCGTATACTTGTTACAGTAAGTATTTGAGCTAAGGAGATGCTTATTCAGGTTATTGCAATCACCTGAAACTGATTCGTGAAATAAGTAACATTTACTGGTTACGATAAATATTTTTATAAACGAAGTGGAAGAATATTCATTTGATCGTACTGTTTCGTTATTCGTTACTTGAAAGTTACGTTACTGTAAATCGTGAAATTAACGTTTATTTATAACGGGCGTTTGAGGTGTTACCTGTACTCTGTGTTGTTGTATTGAGGGTATAGAGGCCGATTGTTGGCTGTGGGATTGAACGTGCCAGCTTGTGTGCCGTCTCGGCGCACATACGTTGGAATGTTTTGCGTGTAATCTGGGATAATGTTTTCGTGCTCGGCCACACATTTTCCATTCAGACAATACTGAAATTTTTAAACGGAGTTATTATAATCAATTTCACAAATCGGTACTAAGTAAACTGTTTAATATTTACAGTTTTCTAAAATATTTTACACGTTGAATAAAATTTGAATTAGAGCTTTGCAATTTTCAACAACGTTTTCGTAAGCATTAATTGCCTATATATGTACCTGACCGTCTCCACAAGGAGAACCTTCAGCAGCTGGACGATACGCGACGCAATATCCGGAGCCAGCGTCGAAGCAAAATAGCTGAGCACAAACTCTGTCGTCTTTCTAAAATATCGAACAACCAAATTACGTTATTCAACTTTTTATACAAGTAACAAATAAACAAGGAATTTTTATGCGAATCTTACGAAACATGCGCTCGTTCCACGATCTTTTCGACACTGTGCATCCAACGAGAGCAATTTCCCAGGTAAAACTCTAGGGAGAGCCTCGTCTTCGTGGGGCGCGTTGTACAAACACGTTGCAGTGTCGCCACTAAAATAAAAAAAAAAAATTCAGTAAGAAAATTAAATTGTGTCATTTGTACTGTATATGTTACATAAAATAATCGACGTTTAAAAGAATTGTTCGATTGAAATTGAAATTGAAGGCAAATGTTCGTAAACGATATTGTGATTCGTACTTCAAGAAATGGTGAAACGACGACACGCTGCAGTGGGACCATTTAAAGCCTTTCTCAGTGTGTCTGAGATCGCTCATAATGTAACCATCCTCCCAGCGACATTTTTCGGCCCCTGGTCCTCCAAGATAACTGGGCGGCGGTGAACCATCGTGAACTGCACCCAGCCTGCGATATTTACATTTCAATGAAATTTTATCCTCTATTCAAGCGTGATTTTTCTCCAGAAATTGTCCTCTTTTTCACAAAACTTTCGACGTACAGATTTCAAAGATAAATGAAAATTGCGAATTTTTTATACACTTTTCGATAGTAAAATACAACCCTTTAAATTTGTATCGATAAAATTTGTTAACGATAAAAACAAATAGCTGTTTATGAAACGACGATCATTCGCTCGATCATTTTTTTTAAATTCACAATTTTTTTCTCGAAATTTTTGAAATTCATAGCAATGAAACTTTCAAGCAGGTGTGTCTTTTTACGTTAGTATTTCAAGATTGTTCGAGTTTGATGCACAGATAAATTTCAAAAACCGTTGAGAATATATTAATTTCTTTCGAATTCTCGGTAAAAGTGAGAGTGTTTTCGATAGATAATGGACTTACAAGTGGCCAACTTCGTGGGCTGCGACGATAATTCCACTAAATCCTCCGGTGTCTTCGATAATAGCCACCGAATTCACTTTTTCGAGACGTTTGTTCACGACACAAGCTCCACCCACGTACGCGAATCCTGAATATATGCATACGATTAGTATGAAACATTTTTACCTTTGTATAGAGTATATAAGAAAATTAATCGAAATGTTAGTACCGCTACTAAGTTCGTTATTCAACTTAGACTAATAAAAAGCTGCATTTTTAGCCAGTTAGATTAATACTAGAGCAACAAAGTACGTGAAACGTGTCTTCACTTTTGAGAATAATCTGTAAAGTACAAAAATTCTTCGTATACTATCGTAAAATAAATTAGCGAGTAGATGTGAAAATTATAAATGAATAAAATGAATGTATAGCTATGTGACAAGTTACAATTGTAAGTTTAATGCGATCTTAAATTGAAGTAAAATGAAAAAAGTGAAAGCTTCTGAAAAAATCTAAAAATTAACTAATAAAAATCTGAAAAGCTTCTAAAAAAGAAATCTACAAAATATCGGATAATTCTTTTGTTTCAAATAACTTCAGTCTAATAGATTAAATTATGCGACTACAGTTTGTAACTGAGTTATTCTCGTGTCATTACAAACGATCAGATATCCTCTTTATCATAATTTAACATCAATGAAATCACGTGTACCGAATAAATCACCCATAAATTAAATTATTTATACACTTAATTTTATATATTACACTTGAAATTGAATTCTATCGCGGTCAGACTGTGAAAATATCACAATTAAAGCCTAAACGTAACGCAATCGAATTACGATAAAATCTCCAATTAAAACCCGAATGCATTGTCTACTGACAATGACTCCGCTGTGATTAAGTAGCAAACACAGGTGTGAACGTCTTGCAATGCTTGTATCAGATAAAACACGATTGTATTTCATGTTGTGATTGTAATCGATTTCAAATAATAGTATCAAAAATTAAACAACCGTGATCTACCAATTACAAGCGAAAGACGAACGTAGTTATATGATCGACAGTGAAAGAAACACTTGATAGTTTCTAACTAGCATTACGAGCAGGGGTGTGCGAGAACCCGAAAATGTCGGGTCGGGTCGTGTCAAGAAATTATCTCGGGATCGGGTCGGGTTCCCGAACGTATCTCGTGATTCGAGATTGTCGGGATTCTTGAAAATTTCCCGAGAATTTCAGGTTTCCCGAAAGTAGAACGAAACTATCATCGAAGAACGTTGAAAAACTAGCTTTTCTACACGAAAATATGAAATAAATCATATCTATCATATATTTGCTTTCCATTTTCATTCCATGCTCTATTTCTTATAATTTTATAATTCTCGAGAATCCCGAAATTCTCGGGAATCCCGAAATTCTCGGGAATCCCGAAATTCTCGAATTCTGAGACACTTTCGGGACCCGACTCGACCCGACCCGAGTATCGGGTTCCCGACATATTCGAGTTCTCGTACATACACCCCTGATTACGAGTAATCATATTTCAGGGGCTAACATAATATAAGCCACTCAGGAGCCAAAATGATTAACTCTACTTTTTCATAAATAAAACAAATTTAATAAATATCATTTGATGAAGTTAGTCACACTTTAACCTCTGAGTGGCTCGTATAATAGAATGGCAGGGATCTCGAAAGTTCTACTGGAACTTCAATATTTCAGAAAGTGTACCGAGAGAAGCATTACAGAAACTCTGGTAGATTAATGGCTTAAAATTTGAATATACACTGTAATCGAACTTGTGAAAGGATACTCAAGCTGGATTATGAATGCATTGTGTCGAAACCACGATTCATATCGTGATAATTCAAGTTCGTATATACCACAACACGGAGCCATGACTCAATCGTTAACATAACTTTGAAAGTGCCTGCAACCATATGGCAACCGTATTGCAACTGGATCAGTAAGGTAAACTAATGTTGAATTATGAAATCGTCTTGCGATTCGTTGAAGGGGGAGGTCGAAAGTTGATTTTTCCTCTCAAAAACAAAGACACGTTCTCTGGTGAGTTGTTATCGATACTATTTATTAAGTTATTATTAGATACGAAACTCTAGCGAATATCTATAGTGATAGTATTAATCTGTTTAACTAAATTACTCGTTCGATTAGGATTAGAGGAAACCAGAAAATAATTACCGAGTCACTACTCAAACAGGTCTGTATTCCCTGATAATTTTTGTATAAAAAATATAGTAAACGTCGAACTTCATTTTCTTTCAAGAATTTTAACATCAGAATTAACACAATGCAGACCTAGTTTACGCCATATCTGTAAATAGTATTTAATAAAAATTTTTCAGGCCACATTTCTATTATAATTAATAAAAACAACAATTTTATGCAATTATTTAAATGAAAATTTTGTACAGGGTGGGGCATTTAAAACAGGTTACCTGAATAACTCGCTTGCTTTTCACGATAGAAAAATATGCATCAGATCAAACTTGTCTGATTTCGTGGGGCACATAATCTGATGTCAATCATTTTTCTTTTAGGCGGAAGCGTAAAGGAGATATGAAGGTCAATCTAGTTTTTTATAAATGGAATGATATGGTCTTTTATTTACATTCTGATAGAGCGTTTCAAGACGAATGCAATGATCTATATGAAAGTCCCTCAAGGTTAACTACAATGAAAATTAAATTGCTTAAAGACACTCTTGGATCACTTCGACGATTTACAGACTAAGGTCTCTGCTTGTCCACTTCTCTCAGCCACCGTGGATTATCTACTGATTAACCCTTTGCACTCGGAGGTGTTTTTTCTGTAAAAAATGTTGTAAATCGGATCTTCTTTGAAATTTTTTCAAACCAACGTAGAAATAAACTGTACTGTTTTATTTCAATATTCCATGTATTTTCTTTCACTAGGGTGAACTAATTTATGGAGGTCCATAGATCTGCTCTCTGTCATGATCAACGATTTACCAAGTTATTTAACGACAATTATTTAACTCAGTCGCCACTCCAGTGTAAAGGGTTAATGGTGCACGTTCTGACTGTCGAAGAGTTCGACGAGTGTCTTTTAAGTAATTTATTTTCCATTGTAGTTGACACTGAGGGATTTTCATATAGATCATTGCATTCGTCTTGAAACGCTCTATCAGAATGTAAATAAAAATCTACATCATTCCATTTAAAAAAACAGGATTGATTTACAGGATCTCCTCTACGCTTCCACCTTCAAAAAAACAATCGACATCAGACTATATGCCTCTCGAAACCAAGCAAGTTCGATCTGATTCATTTTTTTCTATCATCAAAAACAATCGAGGTGACCTGATTTAAATGACCCACTATCTGTAATTATTCGAATAAAAATTTTGTACAATTGTTAAAACGACAGTGTTACTTTAAAATTTGCCGAAAAGTACAGAGACGTTTGAAAAGAGACTCTGAATACTGTTTAATAGGCAGCATGCATCCGGTGTTAATCTTTAGGTCGATCGATTAACCAAGGCTCTCAAGAAGTAAGTCAAAAACTTCATCTACCGTGAAGATCGATTTAAAGATCGTTTCTCCTCCACGAGCATTACCAAAGTTAAAAATGAGTGAAAAAAAAAATTAAAGAAAGAAACACAATAGGCGATCTCTATGATAATTTCTCGATCATTTCTCATTTTTTTTCGTGACTTTTCTAATCGCTTCGATGTTAAACAGACTTACCAACCACGGTCCTCGTCAGTAATGCAGCCAAAGAAACAAAAAAAGAAGACGTGAGTGTTTCAGAGGAGAGCATGTATACATATGCGAACGTGGAAATGACAAGGATCGAAGTGTTCGCACGATATTCTCAGAAAAAAATAAAAGTAACGATGCACCCATTAGAATCGAACGATCGATTTGAAAGAGTTCCGTGGTAAAGTGTGTATACACATATACATATACATATATATATATGATAAAAAATAATTGCAAACGATCGATTGTACAAATGCCAAGGTCGTCTTTACGATTATGCACGTACTTATGCACGTGGAAAAACACACACACACACACACACATACACAGACTAGGAAACCGTAGCCACCTGTGCAAAAAGAGTAAACGAGCGTAGGAGATTTTATTTGAGAGAAAAAAAAATAGAAGAAGAAAACGGGAGAAAGTTTTTCGATTAAAAAATGTACATGTACTTTTTGTTTTTTTTTTGGCGATTTTTCAGTGTGAAAGGAAACAAAAAAAGAAGAAAAACAGTTGCGTTCGTTTTCACTCGTGTACGTTTATAGGAGATTGAAAGAGAGAGTGTAAGAGAGTGAGAGAGTGAGAGAAAGGCAAACTCGTATAGTATCCCAGACTAAGAAAAGTGAGATCCAGAAAACAAGAAAACACGCGTGGCAAGCCGCGATAGAGTGTTTCACGCTCAGCTCGAGGGAAGCTTCGATCGCTGTCTTTTTCTTTTTTTTCCTGTCCAGCCATTTTGTCGTGACAATTAAGTTCAACACACAGAGTGACGTACAGTTCGTTCAAGCTATTAGAAAGTGGAAACAAAGGGGATAAGTATAGAACAAAGCAACGTAGACGCGTTTAGATTGTTTCTGCTATTCGAGGTTCCTTTTCGTTTTTTTTTCTTTTTTTTTTTTTTAAGTAATATGTGTTTCTTTGGAAATTCGTTTCAAGGTTGTTTCGATGCAACACGTTCTGCGCCATTGGTGATGGCGCGTGACAACTAACACGGATAAAGATTTTTATTAAGAAACGTGTTGTTCGATTCATCGATTTAGCACGGTGGATTGAAAGGAAAATTAAAATGTCAGGAATTGGAGGTATTAGCTATTTTTCTCCAGTTAGTTCTTCCAACCTAACTGTTTCACTTAATTTTGAAGTTCTGACGGTAAATACAATTTTTAATGATAAACTCGAAGGCTTGCAAACAATTTTGAATATTATCTGATTAACCGAAAAAAAGATCCTAAGTTTGAAATGTGAGAATTGCTTCCTGAAAATTGAAGTAAATTAAATACTTCGTTCAATATAACTAGTTTTATAAAACTTAAATTTTGAGTACTCGAAAAATACCAAAATCAAAAAGTCAAGAGCGAAAGTTAAAATTTTGACCAAAATTTTATTTTAATTTTACATTAATCTTTCAAGTACTCTTCGGTTTCGATGAATGTAAAATAATTACAAACTATCGGTACATTTTTCCAAAGGAACACGAGTTACAGTTTAAACCCTCGAACGGTAGAAACAATAAAAGAACCCGAGTTGTGATAGACTTCCTTCCTTATATTTTCCAACCATGTTTTAACGCTTGTTTTTTCCGCGTAGTTGCAGCGAGAGAGAATTTAGAATGGAGAAAAAAAAATAATAATAAACGTTCGCAGAGCAGTGCACACAGATAGGAGATCAGAAACAATAATTTTCGACTGGTCAATCTCGTTTCCTTCGAACTCGAGAAACGTACCTGCGGTTCCTCTATTGCACACGTCATTCGCGTATTGCCTCCTGCACATATCTAATCTGTAATGCAATAATAAAAGTTCCTCTTTATCATGTGGATTCATAATCTCTGTTTACTTCGGACCACGTCACGGGACAATCGTTGGAAACGTGCCGCTCGTATGTGTGTCTAATGAATACTTCACACTTCGATGAACCATCATATTTTCTAATACATATGTATATTCTGATAAACCGTGATACGTTTTATGGTACAGCAAATTTGTCGCAGCAAAAGTGTAAAATGCGTACTGATTACCAAAAGTTTCAGAAAGAGGGAAGAATAAACGTATTACAATTAGTAAACATATAACACCAAGTATACATTTGTTAAAATACTTTAGTAATAATAGTAAAAGTATACAAATTGATATACATGATTTCTTTGTGAATAAATATCACCTAAACAAATGGTTCTTAATTGAATTTAGTTTGATTTAAACAAAGGTATAAAAGTATAAGTTACAATATAATCTTTGAAGTTTTCAAAATATCTTACTATAGTTCAAATAACATTATACTATGTATGAAAGAAACACCCTGTAAATAAATGACACAGTTAATTTAGTAAGTGCACACATTTGCTAGTAAAAATATTAACTGTTTTACATTTGAATACTTTTATGGGGAAAATTAGAATATACACATGTATAAAGTTGTAACTGTATAGTAATTGAATATGATTCACTGATTTCATGCTTCTACTGCAACATGTTATGTACATATATACACGTGAACATTGCATCTTCTTGAAATGATCGCAACACTTCTTCACACATCGTATAATAGAGAGTTAATGGTATTGATTCCACGAGGACTGGAGTTAACTCGTGGCTCGATTGATAACAAAGCAAACACTGTGAAGCGATATCAAACACCGTATTCGAGGTAGTATCCTCCTGAACGTTGAGGACGCGTCTTGCGGAAGGCGATAGCGTGGAATTACGGTAAAGCAAACACGCTACGATGCAGCACGCGTGTAAATAATTGCCAAATTAGCCAGTGTCTCAAGTATGAACAATTACAGCCGATTCCCCCTTTAGCAGCTTTGGTACGCGTTGTATTTTGAAATCACAGGAATAGGACGTCATTTACATATCGACTCGACTGTTGACAATAGATAGATGATTATGTACAATATCATGAATGCCGATTCCAACATGTTTTTTTTTTTTTACTTACATTATCTTATTTTAAATTCTCTCGAATTAAAGTACATACATTTTTTTTTTCATTTTTTCAAGACGAAGTATATACAACAGGGTAGGTTACTATAGTGTTTGATTCTGAAGATTCGAGTGGAATTTCTGGCACTATGTACACATGCGTATCATATTTTTAATTAAGAAGAAATTTAAGATCCTTCGAGTTTGATTTTTTTCATTATTTCTAATATTGATCGTATTCACAGATGTAAATTTGAATGGCGTGAATAAAGTTCGATATATTCACGTTCTGTACTGAGAAGATAAAAAGAAAGCCCGAGTGTTACGGATTATAAATATTAGCGTACCATTACCACTTTAAATTCGACTCTATTTTATACTCCTTTTTTTTCTACGAGAATTATACACGCAATTTTTAACAAGCCCCCTTCTCTATTAAAACGGCGTATAGTACTTCAAGTAATTATAAGTTCAACACCATATTTACAGTGTGGTATATTGAAGGTATCAAAAGACTATGCTTTCTCGTTCATTGATGTGAATTATTTTTTTACTATATGAATAATGATTAATATGAAATATTTAGCTCTTCCAGAATTTAACTTTTAATTATTCCATCTTCTATCAGAAAAAGAAAAACACAAATTAGGGTATGAAAAATACAAATTTAATTTCGACGGAAAAGCATATTACCTTTGAACCTCATCACCCTCATAAACGCCATAACCATGCCCATTGAAATTACTTTGGTCACTACATTGTCAAAGACTACATTCAAGCAAGATGTAAATACTGTACACTGCTAATTACGTTACCAGGAGTAAAAAATAATTAAAAAAAAAAAAAATTGATGAAAAAATAAATTGAAAAAAGAAAGCGTGATCGCTATGTAATAAACCATACCGGCAGTTCCCTTAGTGCAGCGGCCGCCTTTCCTACGACGGCACATATCATACCTGTTTTGCGAAATAAAAATCAAACAGTATGAAATCACCAGACTGCTGTGATAAAACAGTAATAGCATAATGTCGGGGACCATAGAACGTTTATTCATTTGTCCGTGAAATTTTTAATCTCTACACGCTTCGACAATAATTATTCTTATCTTTCCTTTCGCGTTTCGCTATCCTCTAATTTACTTTCATTAAAACAACAGAGAAAAAGAACAAACTTTTTTTTCATTATATTTTGGAAAGGCAAAGAAAGAGAGGTTCGTAAGAAGGTTTAAAAAAAAAAAAAAAAAAAAGAAGAAAGATTCTGTATGTTAATCATATGAAACACGTAAATGTAGAAATTCAGCTGAATTTAAAGAAATGTGCACTCTTACTTTGTGACGGCGACAGCGATATCGTAAACCGGAAGTCGTCGCTCACGGAAGAGATATTTGCCCATGTCGGTCAGCGCAGCTGCCGAATCGATCGCGTCTCGACCGACGCGATTCCTTTCCAAATACGGAGTAGCGTCTCTTCCCTGAAAGATGTTGTTTAAGGAAAAAACAAAAAAAAAAGAAATAGGCAGAAAGAAAGTTGTTGGAGATGTTGATCGTTGACGTGAAAAAAAATTGGTGTTTCGGTTTAAAGAAGGGGGGGGGGGATAGAAATTGGGATTGGTAATTGTACTTCACCCGCGATATAATGATTCCTGCGATACTGATGCGAATTTTTGGCCCCTTCAACAGCTTGTACCTTAAGTCTACCCCGTTCCAGAAGGACACGAAGTACCTTTTGATCTGTACATTGTCACCGCCGTGCAATCTGAAGAAAGATTTAGTCGTGAACTTTTTTGGAAATATAATATTACAGTGTTATTCTATATAACGCGATATCTTAATTAAATCTTTCATTATATATTAAGCAACATCAAATAGTTAAGTTCAGTTTTGCTTTTAGTGTCTGAATTTTTAATGAAGTAATTAAACGCATGTTACTTCTAATGTATATTTTCATGGTAAACACGAACGAAAATGGTATATCTTTAATAGTCGTTTAAGTAGTTTTAGGCCTGTTTAAAATACCGTTCATATATTACAGCAATAAAATCGAACGCACTACATGTGCTCGTTCACAGTAATAAAGAGGCTGTTTAGAGTTCCTTATTGAAAATGGATATTGATTTTAAACGGTTAGAATTATATGAATAAACGAGACGTGACCGTAAAGAGATGTACAAAGCACCTTTAATTGCACATTTCTCACATACCATTAAACACAGGTCTTTAGGTAATAAAAAGTATTAGGAACAAGTACATAAAACGTTATATAATATATCCTGTATATCGTAATACTATCTATTCATTAAAAAGATAATCCATCAACTCTTCAAAAAAATTTTCAAATGTGTTACTCCTATAAATAATTTTATTATCAGTTCTAATAATAGTAACTAATAATTATTGTTAGCTCTCGCTAACTAGTAACTAGCGAACGATAATTGAAAGATTGAATTCAGCGATGAACAAGCCGTTGAAATCACGCCTCTTACCTGTACCCATCGTAATCTACGATGCAGAGGATTTCCGGGTAGATCACATACGGTGCTTCCCTCTTCGTTCTCGTTGCGATTGATCTTTTCGATCTGTACCTCTTGGCCAAGTGGTCGGGTTCCATCAGCGCTGAAATCGATGTTTAATCACGAGAAACCAATCTCTACAGAATTTCACCTTCAATGCGGTAACACGTAAAAGATCACTTACTGAAATCACTGTACTCGTCGCCGCTCGGACGAGTCACTTTCTTGAACACCACGTGATGACTCGTACGCTTCAAATTCCCTTTACTTCGCGTTACGTTTGGCAGCATTTCAGCTTGATGAAGACTTGAATTCTTACTTACTACTTCGTGTAATATCCTATCTGGCAGTGGTCGTATCACTAACTCTGAACCAATGTTGCCATCCTGATCGAAATTAAACTTAATTTATTAATTTGTGAAAACAATTTTCTTTTATCATTTTATTGTTGCATAATTTTTTTACTAAATGGGGATAATTTCTTTGCAGCAATTCATTGATCTAACGTTACGCTCTGACCGATATTAAAACGCAATACTTGCCTTTGTAGAATATGCAGAATCTAAATTGCCTATACAGTTACGTAAGGACCTTCTATTTTATTGCACATTAATACACTTTTTCGGCCTTTTCTATGTAATTATCGTCATTCTTTACGTCACTTTGTTATAACAATTTCTTTGAAATAACGCGCCACGTTTTCACAAATTTCACACTTACGTAATTAGAATTTTTTATTTCGATATTTGATAACACATTCTTGTACATTCATAAATGACTTAGTAATTTCAACCATTTTATTTATACGAGCAGGTGTAGCCACCGGTGGACTGTTTTGCAAGCATTTCATTTATAGCGTTGCAATGTAAGGGTTAACTACGTCAATTCCATCAAACATTATACGCTTACTTATCCATAGCATACAAATTTTTTCTTTCATGCTAATCTTCTCCATCTTCATATTATTCATGAAGCTTTTTAACTTTCGAATTTCCAAACCTCGTTACGTATCCTCCAAAATCCAAAAAGAACAAAATAAAATCTTCCACAAATCCCCACTTCCCGCCATTATTTCTCAATAACCGTTGAATCTGCTTCCAACATGAAAGTGAAAACACACATTTCCAAGCCTTCAGAGGGAAAATAAACTATTCGACTAATTACAGGCTCGGCCAGTGGGTTTCCGGTCCCAATAAAATGTTAACTACTTATTTAATGAGTTAACGAACTATAATCGGTTAATAGCTTAATCGCGCATGCCTTCCACGTCAATTTTCCGTTCGATGGTGAACCACTTCCGTCTGGATCGGGTGTAATTACCACGACGTGACTAATTTTGTCCAACTTGCTCGCTCTGTGAACGAAACCCTAACATACGATCAATGAAAGGGCAGTCGAAATCAGTCGATACTTAGGATTGCTGATATTACCGATCTGGGCACAATAGACTTGTTCGATACGTGGTTCGAGAAAGGTGCACTGGTCAAATCGATGGAGGGAGAGTGAAAGCGAAAGGTCAGGACACATGGGGTCACATAGAACAACGCTTTTACGACATTATGTAACGCGACCTGATGTTATTTGTTGTCTTTGGAATTTCATCGTGTATGGCACTTTTACGATCGTTTACATTGAAATCACCGACGATTAATATATAGTCAGTCGCAAGAGTTTATGTATTGTACGAAAGTTGTAAGTAGTTAAAGAGTATTCGTTAAAGTTGATTGTCCTTACATAATGACACATCATTTTTCTGATTTCTAACCAATATGAATTATATTTTTACCAGGGACACCTAAAGTCAGATGTAACATCAGTATAATTGTTGAACCTCATATCTTACTCGTGTATAAATCTTATATTTTAAATAAATGTCACTTTATCAATTGTTAATAGTTTGTAAAATCTGACATTTATATCCTGCGTATCAAAATCCTATTCGAATGTTTTACTTCAAATGAATTTATACTGGAAATATACACATATCGAAAATTGTTTTTAACGTAAGTACATATTTCTAAAAATATCCTGTTTCAAATTTACCGGTCCTATAGTTTCCTAAACAATTTATTTTTTATTTGTATGTCTAAAATAATATTTCTAAAATAAATTGATGAAATTTAAATATATATCTCATAAGATTGTGTATGTATGGGAAACATGCAAACTTTTGTAACTGTCTGTACGTAAAATGTTAGGTTAGGCTTCGAAGAATATACAACTAGGTTTGTCACCCATTTTTCAAACTATAATTCGTCACACCTTGTACACTTTATCATGTCAGTCATCACTAACCAGTCATCAATAATTCTCTTCCCACGTTTTTTAGGCAGTGCAGCACATGTTTCATCCTACGTGGCAATTAGCAGTCCCTCGTTTACAAAACAGCGACCTTTCAACTAATTTTTGATGTATGGAAATAATTTAAAATTACGAAAGATTTGTACTGCACGAAAGATGCTCGAGTAATTTTAGGACCCAGTTTTCTAGGTTGTTGCATAATATGCGTTTAATGTGAAAGTTATTATGGTTATCACGGTAAAAGACATATAATCTTCAACGTACTAAATTATTCTCATTGTTTTTTCAATATTAATTAATCTCTAAAGAATTACTCATAACCTTAAATTCATGGGCATTGGTGTAAATACCGATTCTTACCAGAATGTAATAAAAATTACAGATTTTTTAAAAAGGTATTTCCTACTATAAAGTTTCCTACCAAAAGGTCCATGGCTTTTTCCTATATTTACGTCTGGATTTATATTGATGGAATCATTTGTCGATGACGGAAATATAGCATGGAATTAAGGAGTTCACTTTAAATTACCTCACATAAGAAATCATAAATTTATTAATAAATCAATTTGTCCCTTTTTTGTATCGTTATCTAATCAGGCCTCGTTACTTCTAACCACTAGAATTTATTCGTTCACTATACTTAATGTCCTGAAAAACGTTAATGATTATCCAACGCTTTCACACGCGAATTTATTAATTGGATCGTTTACTTAGAACTGTGCCCATAGTCATAAATGGAATCACTGTCAAAGGGGGTCTCTAGTCGGTTTCACTGGGAAACATACGTGACCGATAAGGCAATTTGTTTCTCTTACACCATTATGTAATTAACAAGCCTTTTATTATTACTTTAAATTACTGTACGAACAAGAACATTTCATTACAAAAAGATTCGGTAAAATGTTTTGTTACTTGAATCATTTTCTTCTCAACTGTAATACACTGTAACACACTAATTAAAACTACAATAGTCTAGAGCATAACTAAAGATTCGTAATTGTTTGTAAGGGATAATAATATAATAATATTATATAAGACAGTGTAATAATTTGTTTTTCAATGGATTTATAGCTCGTAGCATGTTTACTGTTTATAATAAAAACCACAAATGTATAGTAATTTCGTTTCGTTAATTGACACATCGAACTCGACTGTGGTGACTAAGAAAAATAATTGAAAGCATGGCTAACAAGACTAAAGGTAAGAACACCGTAAACTTTTATCGTTCCCGCTTATGTATCTGTAAGCTAATCTTTAAATGCAAATGTCCTTTCACTTGTAATTGATGTTTCTGTCAACGGATTTTGAGCAATTCGACGGTTAAGTGGGAGCTTTGGCAATAGTGCAGACCTCATGTTTTCTTTATGACTTCATGAGGGATCAAACTGTTTAAGTGAAATTCAGTCTCGGTTGATTGGACGCGTAATTATTGAGAACAGCTACCTTCTTTCTTCGAGTTATCCACTGTTTGCAAACGTGAAACCGATATGGGGAATTTTATTGCTTTTTTTCCTAGGTTTTGCCCAAGCCAATCGTCTTCGCAATGTACTCTATGTGATTTGCGATTACTGGAACTAGGAATGGAAATGTCAAAACGATCACGAGATGCCGCTTTATGCAACTTCCCTTCGCGGTTCGACACGCTTCCAGTGAATCTTGTTTATGCGCATTTATTCTGTTCATGGTGAATGGGATGTTTGTACAGAGATTTATATGTTTTCTACTTCGTTAACATTTGTGGAATACGGATAATTAGGAGTGTAATGGTAATTGGAGTGACGATTGTGTGAATGATGTGACGACACTGATGCCTCTATTTTATTATACTTTTCTGCTAAAGTTAAGTGTTCTTTTATTTTCTATTTCATTTGTGAAGAAATTTTGTAGCTACTTCGTTGTGCCACTGTTAATATTTCTTACAGCTTTGTTCAAGCAATTTTGCAAAATTGTAAAGCTATTTGTTATGAATTTTACTTAATTTTTGAATTTGGTTTTGATAATATTAAAAAAATAGCACTAAGTTTAATATTTCTCTGATATTAATGTTCCTGATGTTGATATTTAAATTCAATTTTGTGACCCTTTTGGTATGCAAGTTTTGTATGTATATTGTTTTTAATTAAATTTAATGTAGACTTCATTTATTGCTACTTTTTCACAAAATTATCCCCATTTATATAAACCTAACTTAATAGTACTATCTACTTCTTGTCTTTCATCAACTTAATGAATTCATATTAACTATTAGCCCCATGTAATAGAAATCCATTCACAAGGGACAATCATGTCTTAATTCAGAGGCCAGTGAGCACAATTAAAGTTTCTCAGATTATTTGCTAACAACATGATTTTGCATTCCTCATTTTAACATTACAACACAAAATAATAATTAAGTTCATCTAAAATGTAGACAAACAACATTTCTTATTAAAAAAATGTAGCTATTAGCAGCTAGTATTCTACAATCTTTTTGTACTAACTAACCTTTAAATTTTCAACTTAATTTCATTCAAAGGTACTCCTTCAGATCGTAACCTCTCTTCGACAAAGTTTCTCATTTTTCGCAAGGAGATTCGATAACCAAGCAAAGAATATCAAGTTAAATTTTCCTCAAACATTTCATTAAATTCCTACCTCCTTGTTTCATAAATTGTTACACGTCGTAGCATTGTCGGGCAGCCTCCCTAATCGCGACCCTGTTAATTGCTCGCGACGACGAATCGCGGTGTTGCGATAATTATAACAGAGAAGACGGAGGCAAAGTGAGTCGCGTCGGTTGATGAAAGACGAGTCGCAATAATGGCGGGAATGTCGAAAGGTACATTAAGAAAGAATGGCCTCTTACAACGAGCACTTTCCCATTCGCGTCCCGGTGCAGCAGAATGGACGCCATGTTCGTCGTGTCTTGATAGATGTCACCGATATCTATGTCGGCCTGAAACGAGAAGAACAATTACAAGGTGGCGTGGTTGGCCATATGTAGCCGATTTTATACGATTTCGACCATTTAAAGGGATAATGCAGCGCTAAGAAGAGACTTTGTTTTTGTTACCGGTGTGTCGTGTCGTGTACAATGTCGGACGGTATGGCGAAAGGAACTGCGTGAAATTTGTACGACGACCTCGTGAGAGGTGGTTTTTTTTTTGTGAAAATTAAGAGATGCGTAGTCATGGTACTTGAGAAAACTGAAGAACAAGATTTTAATTTCGGTTGAATATAGGTTAGGTTACATAGGGTGTTAAGGAAAATAAGTTTAATTATCGTACGTTTGTAACACATAAAATAAGTGATAAACTTTAATTACGATATTGCAAGTCATTTGTATTAACGAAAATAATATAAAAATAAATTTAAGGAAAAAGAGAGAGAGAGAGAGAGAGAGAGAGAAGTTGAAGGCTAAAAAATGGAAGCACCTCGAGAAATAAAGAAGTAGTACATGGTATTATGGGTAACACCTGCTGAGAACTTACATCCGTCACTTTCTCGTAGTGGAGGCCGTCAGGTTGCGAGGTATTCCTGGTGACAGTCCACATGGGCAAGTGGTTCGCTGTCAGCAACCCTTCTGTAGGCTTCAGCGACAGACTGATGTCCTTCCCGAAAGCCTTCAGGTGTATCTCCGGCTGCTCCGTACCCCTTTTGTGCACCGAATGTAACACAGGCACAACCTCGTACGTTGGTACTGGAATTTGAACGCGACACTGTCGTCTTCATCGGTTCCCTAACACTTTCGTAAAGACTAACGCGATTTTAGGATACTATAATTTTTCGTCGATTCACGAAAATATTACTCTTGCATAAGTAAACGAATTACACGATGTCTTGTGACTAATGGAATTAATTCTTTTAATTTAACATTAAAAATAAATTAAAACATTTGAGAATTTAAAAATTCAAAAATTTGAGAATTTGTCTTTAACGATATCTAATTATTCTCAATTATTGCGGTTAAAAGCATACGAATCAGTGGAAGAAAAATAAGATATTGATGATACAACGCAGAGAGGATGTAGAACATCTTCAATTCTACAAATCTGTATAAATAACGTTTTATAATGATTGTATCTCTCCCTTTGCATTCTAATTATTAATCTGGAATATTATACTTCATATTTATTCCTTTTCTCATGTTGTATAATAAAGTCCTGTTACTATTGTTACAACCTATACTAGAATTTAATCTACAAATTTTTATGCGATTTGTTTAACCAAATTGATTAAATTAACGAATACCTCGAGTTTTCGTATTAAAAAATATATATATATATAAATCGTAAGATTCGTCACGAAAGATAAAAACAATTACGAGACACAATACTACCGACCTCCAAAATCCTGGATCGCGATAGCAACAGTCGGCTGTGTCGTTGAAATCTATTTTAACATTGTCCCTGCACAATTGACTAGAGGTCGACGATATCTAGATCCATTTTCTGTTACCAACATTCGCAGTTCACAAGCTCAGATATTACGATTAGATATAACTCGAGGTTGTTGGTTTTATTAACATACCGGGTGTCGTGAAATACGAGTTTCGACGAAATATTTAAAACGAATTAAAGTAATCACGTTTAAAACACTGCTGAATTTTAACAACTCCTCGATCATCCTTGCGGAAACTCTATCTCGCAAATATATCTGAATATTATCAATATTACCGGTCGTTAATATTCAAATTTACAACTGCAAGTTGTCAGTGTCACAATTCGCGATCGTAAATATCGTAACACGTAAGTATACACTGCGAGGTCTTTAGCGTAACAATACGGTTCAAAGTAATAAATATTAAGATCGGATACAGATTAGGAGGTGTCAATGCGTCACAGTGTGCAATTTTGAACCGTTAGTAACACGGTGTACGATACGAAATTGACGGTACAGTAATTTATAATTTCGCATTACAAGAGTTGAGGTGGTGATCAACTGTTGAAAATTGTTCACAGATTGAGAGACTCGTAACTTAAAATGGCCGATATTAAAGTGTACCTGTAAACACGAAAGCGATGATGTCTTAATACCGAACACGAGATTCGCAATCCAAGGTCTTCATTCGTATTAGTATACGTAGAGGCCAATTTGTGAAAGTTATTTGCAAAACTCTTCATTAAACATATTTTCCATCGTTCTGTACGTGTACCGGAACTCGAGCAGGAAAATAGGTAGTCGTTAAACAAATCACACACCATAAAATTGCAAAGTTACAACGGACAAATTCCTCGGAATATAGAAATCTCTCTCACACCTAACGTTACCGCGTACAGGCAATGTTGACAAACTTCGTTTCTACAAATTTGCCCCACGAAAGCCTCATTTTAATCCCAAAAATAATGCAAAAAAGTGGACTGCCAGCGATTAGCTTCGATACTTTCACAAGTCTAATCCAGACGGGTAATTACCTTGCATCGTTAGTGCAAAGTTGCATTACGTACTCCCATTTGCATGTACTTTAAAGGCGCCAAGTATCGCGAAACGTAACCGCCGGTCACTCGACTTCGTTTCACGGGAAGTCACTGACCTAAAGATAATTCAAATGATTCTACGAAACAATCGCAACGAAGTTCGTTTCTTTTTTTTTTTTCGCGAAGAATTCGAATTAGGATGCTTGGCACTCGGAGAATGGTTGCTCGCGTATTTTAAAATGCAGAGGGAGAGACTAGAGAGGTACAGAGTCCTTTTTTTTGCTCTACGCGAAAACGAATCCTTTCGTACGATTTTCCGTGACCAACATAGCGCGCCTTTTGCGAAATTTCATGTAAATCGATCGTGTTTATCAAACCTGCCAGCGTTCAAACTCGCATTTTTTTGCACAATACACCTTTTCTTGTACGTTGTCGCGACAGAATGTCGATGAGAGGGAACGAATCGAGGAATTCTCGACGAAGTACAAGAGATGTTGGAATGATTTATGGGGAAAGTACTTGGGAACGTTTCTTGCAGCGTTTACATTAACCCTTGACGGCATTTTATCCCGTGTGGATTTTTGCATTCAGATAAGAGCATAATTAACGTATATCTCTTTCAAATTGAGTAATAAAAATCAAGGAGGGAAGGACAAAGTGTTTATTCATGTTCTTGGAAGAAAATTACAGAAAATTTGAGAAATTTAATTTTCAAAAATTCAAATTTTTAATCCTCCTGTGTTTTCTTTTTCTTTTTTTTTTTTTTTTTTTTAAAAAACAAAACTGGATTATATTATAGAATTACACTTGTTACAGCTAGTACCTACAATATTAACCCTTATCCAGTATAAAATAAAAGAATTATAGAAGATACGACATGGAGCAAAAGTAATGCACCAAATAAGTGGAAGGTGTAATATTTTATTTCAAATTAATATGTAAAAGAATCTAATTTTTCTACACTCTCTGACAGTAATCAAAAGTTATTTCGCGAAAAAAGTTTGAAACTATTGCCGAAAACGATATATCAATACAAGGAACGTTGTTGAATATGCGCCCTAAGCTAGTCCCGACACGTGATTCGGGTCCTCGCAATTTTCGGGAATCCCCGTATTCTCGAATCTCGAGAAACTTTCAGAAACCAGACCCAATCTCGAGAAAAATTCTCGACCCGACATTTTCCGGTTCTCACACACCTCTGTTAATTACCAAGTTACCCAAATATTGCGATATTTAGGAGAAATTCATATTTCGAATATTTATAGTACCCATACTGTTCGTAACTTAAAGTATTACGAATCTTTTCGTCTGCACTGTGTTTAATGGTTGTTTTGTCGGTGTCCAAATATTTTTGAGAGCAACTGTATATTCCAACAGACTTGGACTGTCCGTTTATGTGACACAAATGACTATCCGGATAAGGGTTAATAGAATTGTTAGCAAATGAAATTCTTTTTCTCGTGCAGCTGCACATGAAACCGCATTTTTCGGGACACAACTGAAAATAGAATAATTCGTATCCACGCCACGAAGCTTTCGTTCCGCAATTTTCGTCGTCAAGGAGTTAATGACAGAGTACAATGGCAAATAAATAGAATTTAACGGGTTCCGTTTGGTCGCGCAAGGCCATCCACGTGCGGTGAATGCGAGCCGTGTTCAAATTGAAAGAAAAGACAGAGCCGCTCTACCGCTAGCTATTAACTTTTTCTCTTTCTTTTCTTTTTTTTTTTTTTTCACCGTGATTACCAGACTCGTGTCCTGTGTGAAACACCGATAGCATCTCTTCCCTTGTCATGTGTTCGTGAATCTGCAACAGAGAAGAATATCACCGTGAGCTTCTCGCACATCTTCGTACCGTTCTTCGTCGCGTGAGATCTTTCCATCAGCGGAAAGAATGAAGAGAAAAAGAAAAGGAAGCATTGATGTTTGCGTGATGAAAGGTTAATTAAGGGTTCAATGTGGCTCTCTGATGCGTTTTAATCGCCAAGATACGGGAATTAAGATCGACAGTTTGTCCAGGTGTTTGTATACCTTCTGTTCTTCGCTGTGCGAGTTCAACGATAAAAGTGTTCTTTCACTTTTGCATTCTTCGTTTCTTTTTGTTTAAAACGTACATTTTACCGGGAACGAATTTGGTAATAATAATAGTGATTTACTGTTTTATCGACTGAAAGATATTTCGAACTAGGAAGTACCATTTTGCCAATTTACAATTTTGTTTACCGGTAAGGCTAATTTCGTTATTATCGATCATTATGCAATTTTCCAAATTTCGACCAGCCACGACTGGCGTCAAATTCGATGCCACTAATTTCGCTTTATACACGTTATTGAGATATTTTTTCGACGACTATTGTTCCCGGCCAAGTGCGGCGTGTCGAAACATCGGGGAAAAGGTAGTAATTGTGGCGGTATCGTGAGAACCACAGCGTGTAATAATAACGCGGCGAATAAAAAATTTACCACTTTCGGTCTTTTGTTACAGAGCGTTTCAAGCTTTGCAAATCTCCACGTCAGTTATTGTTATTACTCGTTTAGTAGCTTATATTCGATGATACAGGTGTACTTCCTATAATTTGCGTTGTAGAGAAGAGCTTCTACTCTGTAAAGTACTAAAAGTAAATTTTCAAATATTAAACTTTTGAATTTTCCGAATTTCGAATTTTGTAATTTTTAGAGTTTCAAATTTCTAAATTTCCAGAATATCAAACTTTTCACTTCTCAGATCTTAAAAATTTCAAATTTTTTAATTTTTAGATTTCAAAATTTCAAATTCTTAGATTTTCAAGCTTCCGAGTGTTCAAATTCTCAAATCTTCGAATTAAAAAATTCCCATTACAGTAGCAATTTCCATTCGCATTTCCCGCCAATTCCGACAAGAATTCAAACGCGACGTTCAGCCTCCCATAAGCTCTAATCATTTCCTCAAAAAAACGCTCGACCAACACTCCTTTTTTCCACTCGCGCAACAATCACACGCATTAGCAAATCTCGCTGGAACAATTTCGCTACAGGTTGCTTTGTCGCCGCCAAGTGCATGGCTAATTGGCAGTCGAGTTGCGAGGACAATGATCAACAGTTGTCAATGCACATACACGCTCGCAATAAGGCACATTCGAGCAGAGTTTACACACGATCGATTCGTGTGCATTTAAAAGTTTTTCCAATCGCGGCCCAAGGTCTGCTTCTACCATTTAAGAGCACCTAGCCACGTACCGTGTCACAGAAATCGAGCTGCAATTAACTATCACGCTGCCTTACCGCTCTTAAGGTCGATCACTTTCACTCATTACGTTGGGAAATTCGATCGCGTGCGCTGTCCTATTTGCGCTCTTTACCCGGTCCGAACACACAAATTGTACCATTACTCTTTATCTCTAATTGCGCCTTTCCTGAAAGAAAATGGAGTTCTCCAAACCGTGGAATTCTGAAGGTGGTCCAGTGTATAAATCCAATGGAAAAGTATTTTAAGTGTACCTGGGGACTTGGAATTTAACGAGCTTGACGTAGTCTTAGGAACATGAACAGATAGATGGTAAATACGATGGAACTAGGCTGGTTTATTTTCACATGATACATGATCAAGTAGATAAGATACGTAAGTTACGTTAATTGTGAAATATTTACCCATGTGTTATTCTTTTTTTTTTTTTTTGCATTCAAACGAGATAAATTTTTCAAGAAAATTATATTTTTTAAACGAGGGTTATAAAACAAGTTAAAGCATGGATTTTTTTTCCTGGAAACTGATCGAGTGAGGTTGCTTATCACAATAAAGAAAATTGCGAATAAACGAGTGGTTAAATGCTTATGTAAAATTCAGTTCTTTGAGATAGAAATTATAAAAGAGATCGTAGTGGAAATTTTGTATAATTCAATGGATGTTTTATTACTATAGAATTCATTTTTATATGGTTGAGAAACATTGAGATTCGTTTAATACAGAAAACTTGCGTTATTTCTACATCTTCCGTGTTGCTCGTTTCGTCAGAATTTCATTTACTTAATTTCAATCGTATATAATCTGTGGTTAATTCAACGTACGATTCTTCTAGTAATTAAAGTTTCATTGAAAGAAATGGGAATTAAATGGAAATTTCGTTTGGTAGCTCGAATCGTAAAGATAAACCATCCTTTCGCTATTCCATTATCTTACTTCATTATTTCCTAAGAATCTAACGTCTGAACATTTTCAGATTCTAATATTCCCAGATCACATTCTAACATTTACTCCTTCGATTAAAAAAAAAAAATCGCATTTTCATATTCCAGCGTTCTAATATCTTCCTCGATAAACCATCTTTCGCTATTTCATTATCTTCTAAAAACCTGATGTTTCCATTTTGCATATTTTAATATTCCAAGATGGAATAAAAAAAATCCATATTTTACTATTCCAGTAAGAAAGTCTCGTCGAAAGAAAATTCTTTCGATAATCGTATACGTACTTCGGTATTTCACTAAACCAATATTCTCTCTTTTAATCCACTCCACTACGTACCCCAACATTTCATTTGTCTCGTTATATCAGCAACTCGCTGTTTCCATACTAAACGGTTGCAAAACGCTCTAATATTCCCCTCCCAGGCTCGAAGAAAATCGGGAGTGCGGTCTTGGAGGGTTTTACCGGCCATAGTTTTCCCAAACGACGGTGTTTAATTTGTCTCGTAACAAATTCCCCTGATTTTAACGACGGACCCGTTCGTTCGGTCGGAAAAGCGAGCAGCGCAACAGCCGGAGCCAGTTAAAGAGAACCGGATTTTACTCGAAAAAAGATCGGTATCACCGTGTCGTTCTCCTAATTGTATGCGTACTACGAGCCCGCTGCACGCATTTCCCACTTGAATGACAAACAAACACACGGCATCGTATACACGGTTTGCATTTGCCATGGCCGACCACCGGATAAACCAGCGCTCGCGCCTTTGACTCGTTTTCATTTTTCTTATTTTATTGCAAAACGTGATTTTGAAAGGCGCCGGTCGCGTAAGAAGTTGAACGATTGTCGGAAGTCTATGCGCGGATTCTGTGTCGCGTGTGCCGTGTACTTGATCCAGGGAAGCAAAGACTGCTGAGGTGTTCGAACGCGGCACGTGAAGTGAGATTTTTCCGAATGTTTAATTAAACATTCGCGATACCGATTAAGAATCTTTTCTTCTCTTTTTTCGACCATGCGAGATTTACGGCTGGGAGATTGTTTACGATAGTTGGTCCCCATTAAACACATACTTAACATAACATAGTTAAGGTTCGCGTTGCGACATTCTGCAGTACTCGCGGAATACTGTTTGCGATGGCTTGACGTGGCATGCGGTCGCCTTTTTCTCTTTTCACAGTGAAAGATTAAATGGTTAAGTAAATGTGGACTAGTTGAGATGTTTGGTAATTGATAAGAGCGATCGCAACTGGTTAAATATAGAAGGATGAGGTTAGGTGTGTAATAAGAATGAAATAGATAAGAAATTTGAAGTAATTCTGGTATTCTAGATTACAATCGTTTGGTTTTTTTTTTTTAATTTTTGATTCTCTGAAACTTCTCGATTTTTTGGGTGTCCCGAATACTTCTCGAGTAAAGAATCTAAAAACTCGAAATCTTTGGAGGAAAAGTTGCGTCCTGTCGTATTTTCGTCGTAATTTTCGTGGAAAGGAAGATTTTGAGATTTTACATGGCTGCCATTTTGTCAAAATACATTATTTTGGTTTATTCTAATAGGGATAACAACACTGATACGGACGAAACTTCCGTTTCAAACGAGTACAACAACGCTAATCATGGCACACTGCGGGAAATATGCAACAACTTGAACAATAATTAAGATAATTACACGAAAATTACACTGTGCCTTCCTGAAACATGGCCAAACGTGTATAAAAAGTTTCAAGTCCCTTGCTTTATACCCACTAATATTTTATCCGAAAGATTGCCTAAAAGTAACGTCTCCAAATGGGAATTCCCCCCCAAATGGGGTTGTTCTAATGTGGCGGCCAAAAGCAGCAATTTTCAACGATTAGTTTTTCAGTGAATACGAAATGTAATACATTAAGATACTTACAAAAGATATAAAATAATATTCGAAGTATTAAAATTAACGTTTTTTAACCCCTTACACTCGAGTGGCGACTGAGAAGCGACGTTACTGTTCACAATACGTCCTTAACCCTCTTAGAGCTGAGATTATCCAGCACAGCAGCTCTACAGTTAAAAATTTCTACGTTTATTTCTGTGTTAGTTTAAAAGAAACTTAATTTCCGATTTGCTACATCCCTATAGCAACGAAACCTTCGAGTGCGAAGGGTTAGTGTTTCTCTACGATGCAAATGTGCACCGCCGCGATCCAGAATGTGTACGGAAAACGTATATACGCTTGGTTTATACACCGGTTAGGTTTCGATTCGAAACCACGATGCATACACTACCACAGTGTTCACCTTTTAGAAGGCCTATGGTAATTATTATTCCTAACGAAGAGGGCTTGCGTAAGCCAGGCTGACTATCAGCCAGACGCTGATTACACTCGAAGCGAAAAGCTTGGCCGGTTTTGCTAATGAAAATCGGCCTCTCGCTCGATCGCGCCACGTATCACAATGTTCGAACTATCATTAATCCTGATCCTGTCTTTTTTCCCCACGTTGCGTGCATGGCGATTAATACATCGCTCGCATGCGAACGCGTTCGCTTCTGTTTAAAAGGCTTGTACGCAAATTGTTCCCGGCTGGTAGGAACACGTTCCGCGAGTCAGTTCGAATGGAATCGCGCATGAGAGCGAATTCTACAATGCTTTCGTGATCCTTTTCTCTAATTAAGTGGTCGTTGACCTGTGAACTTTTGCAGCCGTGCTTTTTCCCCCGAAGTGGATTCGCCTCGACGCGTCTGATTCGATCAGTCGAGGATTTATGGATTTTTCTTCGATGTAGCTGTTACGGCGTTTCCAACTCGATGCTGTTTTCCTTGAGACATATTATTAATCTCGCGATGCGAGAAGTGTACAGAAGCTTTGTGTATCTTGTTCATTTTGTGGATAAGAAGTAGAAATGAAATTTGACGAAAAAGAAATTGGAAATTTTACGCGAGTCTGATTACTGTTTATACCATAATCACCGATTTCGATGAAATTTTAGTAATTATGTAGCAGAACTTCAAAAAATATTCGATACGTATTTCTTTTATATCGGCAATCGTCCACGGTAGAGGGGTGAAAATCACCCACAAAGTTTCGAGGAGGTGAAGATATTTGGTCTAACATCTCGAAAACTATTAGAGACAGAATGACAGTGTAAATTGACGAATTTTGTATTTTTCAACGACAAATTTGAAAAAATTAGAAAATAATAATTTTCACCGGCGATTTTCACCACTTTAACGTGGACTATTGTCGATGAGAAAAAGTATGTATCAAATATTTTTGTTTTAATACTATCATGTACCTAATAAAGTTTTATCGGTATCGTTATCACTTCGGGATGTTCCCTTGTTAAAACGATTTCCATTGGGAAAGTACAAAAATAACTGGAGCTGCTACGATCGTGAAGTTTATAATTTTATTTAACTAAATCTTCCTTTAATGACTATCTTAAAGTACGATGGACAAATTATAACAATAAATATCTAATAATAATAATAAGTCATAGAGTGTGAAGAAAGAAGATATCTCGTCACCGAAGCGAATGTGTTAATTTTCATTTCGCATGGAAAAAGAACCTGGTTCACGTACGTACGGTATATTTAGTTAGATAAATTTGATAGATTTCAAAGTGACGTTGATTTATGAGTATGTCCTCTCTTTCTTCACGTTACCGTGAAAGTAAGAAACCAGTGATATTTTAAACAGTCGTTTTCTATGCAAATATACACCTATTGAAACATTTATCAGATTTTATACGCGAACCACGTTTAAAGTGTCCCGGTACACAGAGAGAACGATTTTTGTGAAGGGAAGAACTTATGGAAATACGTTGCTTCCTAGAACATAAGTACTCTGTACTGGATTGCTTTCAGGCGCAAATGTTAATGGAACGATAAAGCTTCTTGTAAAATCCCCGATAGAATCAATCTCTGTCAAAAGAACGAAGTAACTGAGCGCTATCTTGGTGAGTGCAATCCTCGTGTAACTAATAGCAACCTTTTTCTCTCCATCACGGTTTTGATAAGCTCCAGGCGAAGCGTAGCTTACAGATCCTTCTTAACTTTTCTACATTATCGTTACTTCTAAGTTGAACAGTGTTTAACGTTGTAATTACAGAAAAATTTTTCTTTTTTATTTTCTGCACGTTTTTTTTTTTTTTTGTATTAGAAAGTGCTATGTTTACAGTATGAAATTATTATTGGATTATGGGAGTTATTGGTTGTTAAATAATTAATAATCTCTATTTTAAACTATAAACCTTTTATTGGACACAAGGAAGGTTCTCTTTACTACTTGATGGTAAGAGCACTGTATACGGACTGAGAATGCTCCTACTCAACGCCCTAATATTGCCTACGACCCCGCTTGGGACCGAAGGACCTTTTGTCACGTATCATAAACATTTAGATCTTTACTAAACAGAGGTGGTAAGGCTAAACGGATTTCTCCGAACGTATACAAAAGTAATATATACTTCCTAGCAAGGCGTTAGATTCATTTTTGTTATATCTAACTGTTATAATAGTTTAGATCAGTAACGAGCAATCTTTTTTTTTGTTTGCAAAGTGCCAAAATTGAAAACCTAATAATCCTTATGAGCCGCTGCAACCATAAAGAAACCTATTTTATCAATTTAAAAATTGTTAATTTGTAGGGTGGAATTTTTTTATTCTCGACGTAAGTAGCAATGAATATATTTTCATTTTATTTTCAACAAGTGTCGAGTTAAAAATTCGAAGGTATCCTATTTTTCCTTCTTTCTAATTCTGCAACACTATGCTTCTCTAAGTTATCAATATTACTTTTTATAAATACTGTTTTAACGGGTATTGCTCATATGAATTTTTCAATATTTTGGGCTGCATACTTCCTCTTCTTATTTTTAAAATCAAGCAATTTGTTGTATTCCGCGGCTCGCGATTTTTTGCGTTGGTTTATTATTTTCAATAGGTACGCGGTAGGAGAGCCTGACGGGAACTGGGGCGAAATAAGGGAGCTATTCTGCGCGTAGTACTATTCGACTTTATTAGACAGTTCGGTGACGTTCGGTGAGTGAAGACCACTAGACAAAAATCTGCTGTTTCGACGGAAAAGGTTTCTAGATATAGGTTCGGTAAGTACGAGAGTACGGGGTTGGTCTCAGAGGTCAATGTAGGGAGAGGCGGTGAGGTCTAGGTTCGGCGATGAGTAAAAGTAAAGGATGATGTGGAGGTCTAGGTTTCGGGGTGACTAACGTTAGGATGATGCGGATTTGTTTACAGTTAAGGAAAGGAGGCAGGATGACTAAAAACTAATGAAAGATAGGAGAGAGGTATACGACAAATTCTGTGTCACAAATGTTGTTAAATTCTCGCCTGAAAAATTCGAGGTAAACGATATTTCTTGCTACCTCGTCCAATACAATCAGCAATCAGAAAAATTAATATAAGAAATAGTAGCAAAATATTATCTGTAGAAAGTAACATTGATAAATTAGAAAAACGTGGTGTTAGAAAATTGGGAAAAAAAGAAATGGTGTCCAATACGATGTCCAAGACAGTGACCTCGTCGTTCAATTTTCGACCTTGAGACAGGAAAGTCAATAGCTTATTGACCACCGGGCAAGAATGATCGTTCATCGAACGGCGCGGCGCGATAAGCTTGAACGACACCATAAACGTAGCGCCGCGTTAGATTACAGAGTTCACCGCACAATTTATTCCTTTCCCTTCCCACGTTACTTTCCTGGAGACGTTTATCGTGACCATTGTACTTATTATCTTCCTGCTCGCGTTCTTCTACACACACTGTTAATTTCCCATTGTGCAGAATCAGGTAAAGAAAGAAAGAAGAAAAAAAACGATACTTTGCATAAAGATATTCACGTTGCATTTCATTATGTAGCACTTTCATTTTTCAAATCGTTATTTAACAAGTGGAAAATCTCGAACGGTATTCGTTCGGTGAATTAACCTTTGAGAAATCAAAGATTTCACGCTCCACTTCGCTGAAAAATTCAGACAGTTTGCGCAAGTGTTCCAGTAGCCGGCTAGTTGTAAATGTGATATATGTATAATAAATTCGACGGTGTTTGTCCAAGAGGTATGATTTCGAGAATGTTGATGTTGGATTGTTTCTAAGAACACTCTGTAGATATAGCGAGGACAAAAATGTCTCCGCGTTCCTTTGGACAAAGACACTAAGCCTTCCACCAGATGTGTCTGGTGTTCGTCTTCGAGCCTGCACACTGCACACTGCGATACAATAAGAGTGGACAGTTCCTAGGTATAAGCGGACCCCAACATTCCCTTTTTGGGTGTCCAGGAACAGTTTGTTAGAGCATTTGAAAGAGTAAAGACGTTTCCTCTGAGCCTCGCGTGCCGCGAAATTTTGAATTGTTTATAATATGTAAAAAGCCAAATATTTAACTGCTACAAATATCTAAATATCTAAATCTAAAACAAAAAATTATATACTTTAATTTTATTGGACAAAGCGTAAATACGACGCATTCTTCGTATCTTTACTAACTGTAAAAAGCAAAAAATAATAATAATAGGGGTGCCGTGAATTTTGTTTAATAATTTCAGTGTGCCGGCTGTTAGATTTATCAGTCAGTTAGATATAACAAAAATTAATCTAACGCCTTCCAAAATTAATTAATCAAAGGCCCTTCGGTCCCAAGCGGGGTCGTAGGCAATATTAGGGCGTTGCGTAGGAGCATTCTCAGTCTGTATACAGTGTTCTTACCATCAAGTAGAAAAGCGAACCTTCCTTGCGTCGAATAAAAGGTTTATAGTTTAAAATAAGGATTATTAATTATTTAACAACCAGTAACTCCCGTAATCCAATACCGGCAGACAAAAATGTTTGAGAACCTGCTCTGTATCTAAAATTATTTCGCACCGTCTGAGTCTGTCGAGTCTAAAGAATCGATCCCTTAATTTCTCTCGTAAACGTTGCGGAACTTTGCCTAAAAGTTTCATAAATCTTCCACATAACAGCAATTATATTCTCTGTGCAAGAAACGTTAGCAGCGGAAGTCGGTGTTTACGCAGCGTGAATTCGCCTCGTAATCAGCGTCGAATCGACAATTAACGTCGTCTGATTCCGCTTGTATCTTGTCATTTCGAGTCAACAACACCGGCCACGACCACCTTACACACGTGTTCTTTGTTTTAAGGAAGCGTCTGCACGGAATAACAGTGTCCTTGCCGGATCCCGATGGTACTTGACGCGATCTTACCTTGTGGCATCGTACGAGAGGTAGAACGGCCATGCACAGAAGGACAAGGGCACGAATCATTTTGCGTGAAAATATTCCTGATGGGCTGCGTCACATCGCTGAAACACGAAACAGAGAAAAAACCTTTATGAATCGATGAGTCGACACATTTCGCGATGGATTATTAAGCAATTATTTTACTCGCAATCTTTTAGAGTGGACTGTACTGGAAAAATGTAAAATATTGAAAGAGAATATCGCGTATTTTGAAGGATCGTTGCAAAACAGAATTCGAACAGAATATCTCTCCTTTTCAGGAGAAAGAAATATTTTTCTGTGATGTCGGGGTGAAATTGAAAAGTTGAAAGAGAATACTTCGAAAGATTGAAATTGATAAAGAATACTTCTTAGAACACTACGAAGAAATTGAAATAAAAATATTAGCAAGAGATATGTTTATTTTGTAAAAGACAGGAAGAAAGGAAGAAACTTAATTTTCTGAAGGAACGTTTATGAAATTTACCGATATTACAGGGATAAGTGGCTACGAACTATTTATGAGTTATCTCTAGACGCACTCATACAAATGCCATATTTGTATTTTAAACCACCAATGAAATAAAAATTGTACTTTATGTGGAAGGGTAGTTCTGGATTATGTATTTCAGTTTTATTTAGAAAGGGAGAAACCGCGAATTTATATTATTTTCAATATTATTATTGAACTAAACTTTCGTAGAACGCGAGTGAAAAATTGAAAGAATCAAAAGAAAAAACGCGAATTCGTATCTTTTTCGATTCTAGAATATAAGAAAATTTGAATAAAATACGCGACGAGAATTGGGGAGAAGCATAAGTTAAACGCGTAAAAATATTCAATAATAAACGAACTAGGGATGAAGCTATTATTTCAATACGCGATGCACTGACTCTAGTATTTACTAAAATTCAAAAATTCTCGTATAAATTCCGAAAATAGATTATTAATTACGGTAAACTACTGAGACGGTTTAATTAAGGGTGGGCATGGTGCTGCTTTAGTTTGAAATGATTTATAAACACATAATTAACAGAGGAAAAACCGTGAAACGGCAAAACGTCAACATTCTAATTGTTATAACATGTAAACAAAACTTTAAATTTAGTGTAAACAGAAAAAATATATAATACAATTTATTTCACGGTATTGCAACAAATAAACGTTGAATCAATATTTAATTCGTATAAAAACAATTATTTAACGTAATAATTTTACCTTCACTATGGCTATTTTTAATCTACGACCACAGGTCAACCTGATTTCTAATCCTTACGAACTTTAAATTCAGTCTAAACTGAGAAAATATATAATACAATTTATTTCACGGTATTGCAACAAACAAACGTTGAATAGATTCTTAATTCGTATAGAAACATTTATTTAAAATAATAATTTCACCTTCACTATGGCTATTTTAAATTTACGACCAAGGGTCAACCTGATTTTTAATCCTCCGAACTTGATTTCACAACGAGAAAGTAATAAGATCGTTGAAACGTACTTATTTGTCAAAGAAACTTGCAAAAATGTATAAATAATAATATGTAATGTTTTAACAAATTTTTGGAAGTATAAATTAATAATAAAATTGTGAAAATTAATAAATTATACGTTATTATAACATTAATAGAATTATGACTAAACCGAAGTTCGAAGTCGAGTATTTAAAGTCTGATATTACGTGCCTAGCGAGTGCCGGTAATTGTTAAAATTTGTTTAATAATTAGTAATAGAAATTCTAATTGATTCTAATGTATACAAGTGTTACAAGAAGGCTGAGTGTGTACAGGGTGGACATAGACTAGCTAGTAGCCCCCGACCACTCTATTCACATCTCAGAACCTTCAGGTCAAAATACGCCGCGAAGTGTCTAGGGCCCAGTATAAAGGGTAAATGATTTCGCGGGACATCGGCGGGTCCTTATATACCTGCGGTACCCTCTCCCCAAAGTCATTAGCAAAATCGTCGGTTAGGTCAGGCGGGAAATTTTCGCGGGAGATTTTCGCGGGAGATTTCCGATATCGTAACACGGTATAATTTATCAATTTTCACAATTTTATTAAAAATTTATACTTCCGACAATTTGTTATAACATTGCATATAACAATTTATACGTTTTTACAATATTCTTCAATGGAAACATAGGTTTTAGCGTTCTCGTTACTTACTCGTGGTTAAATTAATTTCGTAGGGATTAAAAATCAGGTTGACCTGTGGTCGTAGATTAAAAATAACCATAGTACAGCTAAATTTATCGTGTTAAATAATTCTTCTTACACGAATGAAAAATGTATTCAACGTTTGCTTGTTACAATACCATGAAATAAATTATTTGTGCAGTTCTGTGCATTTTCTGTGCAGTTCAACCTAATTTACTTAAATTTACATTGCGAGACAGTATACTGTAACAAGTAGTAACAAGCAAACGTTGAATAAATTCCTAATTCGTATTAAAAAAATTATTTAACACAATAATTTCAGCTTTATTATGATTATTCTTGATAAATGACCACAGGTCAACTTGATTTTTAATCGTTATAATCTTTAAATTCAGTGTGAATAGAGAAAATGTGTAATATAATTCATTTCACGATATTATAACAAACAAACGTTGAATACATTTTTGATTCGTAGGAAAAGAATTATTTAACACGATAATTTTAGCTGTACTATCACTATTTTTAATCTACGACCACAGGTCAACCTGATTTTTAATCCCTACGAAATTAATTTAACCACGAGTAAGTAACGAGAACGCTAAAACCTATGTTTCCATTGAAGAATATTGTAAAAACGTATAAATTGTTATATGCAATGTTATAACAAATTGTCGGAAGTATAAATTTATAACAAAATTGTGAAAATTGATAAATTATACCGTGTTACGATATCGGAAATCTCCCGCGAAAATCTCCCGCGAAAATTTCCCGCCTGACCTAACGGACGATTTTGCTAATGACTTTGGGGAGAGGGTACCGCAGGTATATAAGGACCCTCCGATGTCCCGCGAACTTATTCACCCTTTATACTGGGCCCTAGACACTTCGCGGCGTATTTTGACCTGAAGGTTCTG